CATCGTAGGAATGTTTGCTTTTTGATAAAAATCAATGGTAGCGTCAATTGTATTTTTTACACCGACTTTCACCGAATTTTTTTCCACTCGCGTTTTGTAAAAAAATAATTGCAGAACTTGTTTCATGCTCGGCAACTTTTCGCCTTTGAGTTCACTTTCACATTTTCCAACTAAAAAAATTGTATAGTCATCGGATCGGAATTGTTTTCTGGATGAGCTTGACGATGTTGAAGCCATTTACCGATTAAAACTCACTTTGTTTTGTAAATGTCTGTCTTAATTACGTTCAAATTGGCCCCATTTAACTTGTTAAATGAAAAAGAACTTTTTTTAAAACACAATCGTCCACATTGAACATTTGGAGTTAACTTTGACGGTTGTTTGATTTCAAATAAAAATTTAAAAAAATATTCAAAATCAAGTTTTTGTGTTTCAATTTGTTTTGTCATTGTGCTTATATACAAGTGACAAATGTTCTTCTTCTGCCTGGAAACCGCCTGGAAAATACATAGAAATATCCGGTCAAAACGTAGAAGTAACCTGTCAAAATGTTAGACAGGGTGTTTAAAGGGATGTAGAAAAAGACTAAAGTTATTGAAATAGCCTTAAAAATTGGCCAAATATGCATTGCATTAAATGAATTCCTATGTTTATATAGCAGTTTAATATATTAAAGCATTTTGGTCAATGACTCCTAAACTGAATAGAACTTTTCTTGCTGGTTTTGTCAGAGTCCGTTTTTACTTGTAAGTGTGCACAATGATACGGATTACTTAGAAACTTCAAAATATTTAGTTCGTATGCACTATTTATCTCTGCGTACTATGAGATCTAATGGGAAATAACTAATTACCGCCTTGATTTCTTTTTTGGCGAGCAGACATGTATACAATTTTGATATTTTTATTTTATTATATTTTTATTATTTTTTTATATTTTTTGAACGTTGGCGTGTCAAAGGAAAGCTTTTGGCTCTTTCTGATTAGCGGAAGCAGAAAGCTGAAATGATTTAACTGGTTCAATTTTCCAACAACAATTGTATGCGATTTAACTTGTTTATAAACACGTTTTGTTCATTTAACTGGTTCAAGCCCATTTAACATGTTTAACTCGTCAATTTGAACGTAGTATAAGTTCACTTTCATTTTTGTAAAAAAAATGCCGTTCACGCTAGAGGTAAACGCCGCCGAGCCACGCCGCCGATTTTTGTCATTCCTCACGCGCCGCCGCCGAGTTACGAAAATATCGGCGGCGGCGGCGTTCGGCGCCTAAGGAATTTCGTACAAAATTTGCATGATGTATGTACATTGAAATACATCATTTGAAGGAACTAAATACTACTCGTTTAAAAACAGAATTTTACGAAATGAACATTACTTTTTTAAAGCAGTTTTTTTGCATAATTTGGGCCACTGGACAAGAATATGATCTCCTTTATTTTTCCAAAAAGAGCGCAACTCAGGAAAAAACATAGGTAACATATTTTTCGATCGAAAGCGTTTATTACAGTTAAAGGAGGGCCGAATATTGGTAATCTAACGATTTTTTTTCCGCAGTAGACAACTCTTTCCAATACTGCAACAACAAGAAAGTTATAACACATCAAGAACTTTAACGCCAATATCTCAGAAAGCAGTTTTAAGAGAAGCAGTTCATGTTCATCTAACTCATTCCATCTAACTCCTCAATTATTAGAGATAAAACAAAGACAAGTTGATTTTCCAGAGTATTTTTTTTTTTATCTTAAACAGACTTTCAATAAAGAGCCAACACTTTTTTTGTAAGTTATTTTATTCTGGGGTCCCACATATGTATACTGTGTGAAAATTACGTTAGCATTCCTTAGTGGTGGTCAAACCCCGTGAAGGTTTTGCTCCCTCGCATCGCAACGTTTTCTACAAAGGGTTAAAGTTCCCCCTTTTTGGTAAAAATTAGTATTATTTTTCATTACATTCGGTTCTCCTTAGAAAAATTTGACGCTTAATATATTAGTGGAAATTTTAACCATCTATAAGCCATTTTTTTAAACAGTGAGTCAAAAAGACCCGTTCTGGTTCGAGTTGATGGGTTAAACTTTTGGAAAAAAGTAGACCAACCTTGTTTTCAATATGTAATCCGCAAAAAATCGTAAGAACTCGGTAATTTAACATAACGGTTGATAAGATTATTGCAAAAATTTATTGATAGCGACATAAATTATCCCAATAACTTGACTTTTAAAATTTTTTATTTCTTTATATTTAAATAGTACATACGGATCTGTCCTGCAGAAAAAAATTATAAATTGATAAAAAATAACCCAGTTGTAGTTAGCTTTTTTTGCGGGATTATTATAAAATAAATAACTTGTAGTTAGCTACAAAAAACTAGCTTGAAACTACTTGACAAGTAATGCAGGAGTAATGAAGGAGATTGTTTTCTTTAAACGCGTTTGGACAAACGCGTTGAGGACAAATCAAAGGAAGATCGAAATTCATATAATCATTTTGAAGTTATGTCTGACGAAGTTCGAATATGGGACCACCTACAGCAGAATATGAAAACAAATATAAAATGTAAATAAAAACAAAACAAAAAATTTTGTTATTGATATTTTATGTCGAAAAGTAGTTAATTACAAGTTAGTTACATTGCAGAGGTAAACCAGCCTTGACTATTTCGCGGCCATCGCCATAGAAATATAGTTAGCTTTCGTCAAAGAAAATATACAGATAATAAGTGACTTTTAGCTCCTTCCTAATCAACTTAAAGTTAGCTTATAGTTAGATGCATTTCCTGCAGGGTGTAGAGAACATACAGAGCCATGTGTGGATGTATGTATATACCTCAGACCTTCTTCTGTTCGCCCATCCATCAGCGCCAGGTACTCAACATTTTAATTCAAGTAGGAAGTAACGTAATTTAAATTTAAAACTAGTTCAATGAATGAATTAAATAGAATTATAATCCGAATTGACATGGTGACGAGATGACATGATAAGATTAGTATCCGCATGGCTCTTTGGAATCTACCTTAAGGGCAGTAGCGCCGTCACCGCCGTGCCAATTCTTTTTGAAGTTGACCACGCCGCCGCCGCAAGGCGTCTCGGCGTAAACCTCTAGTTCACGCTCTTTGTTGCACTTTTGACTTTTCACTAAAGCTCTGAACACATCGAAAACGGCATCACCACACGACACGACATTAAGGTTTTAGCTACATAATCTACACGCCTTGTCAACGGCGACATGATTTTTTTGAACGCGGCAGCGACACATGAATTGGTTTGAGTTTGACATAAAAGAAGAGGAAGAAACTTATCTGTCGCTAGAAAAATAAAAAATAGGTCCAATCTGGCCACAGCTACATTTTTGGCTAGTCGCAGTGTTGCCGTCTCGTCGCCAAAATAATTATCTACATAAGAGCACGCGTTAAAATAATTTGACAGCTGTGGTCCGTAGCCCGTCGTTTCCAGCTTCACATCGGATTATAGGATTGCCGCTGCGTGAAATTAGTTATGTGTGTTTTCCGTACTTCTAAGGCCTTTGCAATTTTATGGCGCTGTGTTATTTTAACCGACTTGAGACTTAATTGACACTTTGGAAAAGTTATTCCATGAAACTTTCGATAAAAAGGCACACAATAAAATTTCGCCATCTTGAAATTGTAAAATATGAAAATTCATAAAAACTGGCCTCAATTTCGTCACTTTCGGTCCAACCAGGAACCCCTAAGAGTCATCTGAAGGCTTTGAAAATAGTTACATATTTATTTCTAAGCCCAACCTCATATATTTCCGTGCGAGAACCATTGGTTTTCGGAAATCGGTGCATTAAGGCCACTCTAATACATGTGCATGTAAATACACATTTATGTGCTCATATAATTAATGCTCATAATTAGTAGAACCCAAATACCAACAATCAAAAGCTCTATGAAAATATTTAAGTACTTGCAAGCACAGTACGCTATTGCGGATATTGTACAGTCGATGTAATTGTCGCTTGCAAAGCAAATACTAGTCTTGCTATTGATCGGTTTCTTACTTACGCATACTCCACCGGTTTGTGTTTGCCCGCACTCAAAAAGTGAATGGAGAGATAAATAGAGTAAGTAATTGTACTGCTAACACATGTCTTTTTGGGCGACTCAAATGTATCCGTGCGGAGCATAATTAGCCAATATTGGCCATTTAAGTGCAGATTAAATGTATGATCTGAAAATGAATATTTGAACTTAATCAACAACATCTACTTAAATAGGCCAAACTGCAAAACAAGAATTGCAAGCCAAAGCTAAGAACAGGCCAAGAACAAGAGAATGATAGAATGTCGAGAAACGTCAAATGGAATGTTCGATAACTTTCAATTAAAATAGTACAGAATTGCGATGAGAGCGAACGCAGATATATAAATACGTTGTTACAGCGTAAAAAAGTTCGGTTCCAAAAGAAAGTTGCGACTACAGAGATCGATTGTAGTAACGAGTATTGGAATTACAGAATTGTCTTAACAGGTATTGTAAAGGGTTTGTTGTGTAATAAAGTTATTTGTACTGTAATTTGTGCGTTTATTTAACAATCCAGTTAAACGAACTTGAATGATTCAAGAATTAAGCAAATAATTCAAGAATAAGGCCAGTATGCAGCTCTGAAGAAAACGGTTTTATACATTTTTTTTTGTGAAAGAGTGAGGCAACAGGCTGTGAAGTTCAGATGTCAAAATGCCTTGGACATACACACGAAATAATGGCAATTTTTTCTTGACTATTTTCTTCAGAGCTGCATACTGGCCTATAATCATAACGATATGTACACATCGTTACCTTATCTAATATAGAAACAATCCAAAATTTTGTTTGTATTTACATTAAGCTAATTTCAAATTAATTGATGCAAACATACATATTTTCGGAGTAATTTTAAAAACTTACGCGAATTCAGCAAAGTATTTAGTTATTTAATAATTTATACTTATTATTTAATATTTTTACATTTTGCATATAATAAAATTTTTATTTGCAGATGATGTCGGCCATAAAAACTGGAGACGTCGCATATTCGCGTTTTGCTAGAATGGCGGAATTAGAAGAACAAAAACACGAAGCTGCTCAACTCAAACAAAAAATCAGTGTCGATCGCTCCGGAGGAGGATTATAAAGCACACACATATAATTTGGTTGCACTTTTATGAAAAATTAAGAGATCTATTTATTATTTAATTGTTAATCAAGAGAAATGTTTACTTTTAAATATACTTACATATGTTTGTATACATATATATGTATACACATGTCTATTTCTTAACGAAAAAATTAAAATGTTCAAGAACTTTATTATGACATAATAGATACGAACTAGCCGAAATTTTAAATCTGAATCAAAAAAGCCAAACTTATCATCTTGATGATAGATGTTCACTAAAACTAAAACTCTTGGATTTCTTCGCTAGCTAATCAGTGCTGCCGTTTTTTAGCTTTTAAAGTTACCATTAAAAATTTTTGGGGAGTATGCCCCAAATGTTTGTATACATCTTTATACTTAAGGCCACTTAAAGGCTTACAAGAAATATAAATATTTTACCGGGGTTTAGTTTTGGCTTAATAGCAATCATTATGGAAGAATATAAGTGAGATATCTTCGGGTTGACAGGGTATTCAATATGGCGCTGACAGTGCGAACAATATGGCAGGGTTACGAGGTGCGCGATGTTTCGAATTCGTTTGGCATATCTGCATTTACTCTGCTCTGGTACGAATTTAACCTGCTGCAGTAGCCAGGCTATTGTGGTCCAAGTCTCCCGAGGCAGACGCAGCTCTGTCTCGTCCACGTCTGGTGGTTGTGTACCTGAACGGCATTTACAAGTTGAGAGTCTATATAACTGTGGATGCCGTTTAAATCCTATCGGCATGCTGTCGGGTCCAGAGGTTGTTTTATAACATCAGAAGGCATCCTGTCGCTGTCCTGAGTGCTGTGTTTTGGTAGGTCCGTAATTTCATTCACTGCGTTCTACTAGTCCCCGGCGACCACACATGCGCTGCATAGTTCAGAACAACGTTTCTTTGTTTTAGCCCCAGGTGCCGCTGGCTAGCGACTTGAGGTCCTTGTTGCGGCTTTGTACTTTATTGACAATTGCGGTTGTATGGGCCGAGAAGGAGAGCAGGCTGTCGAAGGTTACTCCGAGTATTCACCGTCGGAATTGGTTCGTCTCGTTGTGAATACCAGGTTGCAGTCTGACTCCCTTCGTCCAAGTCGTGAATACTGTTTCTGAGGATTTTGTAGGGGAGAGGGTAAGGCTCCGCGCAGTGAAGAAGCACAAGTGATCAATTCCATTTCCAGACGCCATTATCGAGAAATCTTCAGCATAAGAGCAAATCGAGACATCCTCTGGTGGTTGAGGGAGCTTAAAAATGTGTAAGTCAAACAGTAGTGGGGAAAGAACATCACCCTGTGGGACCCCCTCTTTATTTTCCTGGGTTTGCTCGATTTGTCTGCAAAAATTACTGACGAGTGTCGACCACTTAGATAGTTCCCTGACCACCGTTTGAGTCCCTGTGGGAGAGGGGAGGCCTCTATGTCTTCTAGTAGCGTGGATTGACTGACGGTGTCAGACGCCTTGGAAAGGTACAACTCTACTAGAATCGTTCTCCCCAAGAGGCGGTTTCGGTCAAAGCTACGAGTTATCTGGAACCCATGTTGATGCCTCACTGGGGTCCGGTGGTTTGTGTAGTCTGGGAGTAGAAGGGCCTCTAGTGTATTCGCTGCCGGGGAAAGGAGAGTAATCGGACGATGGGACTCTCCTTTGTTAGACGGTTTCCTCGGTTTAAGCATTGGGACCATTCTCCCCATTTTTCAGGTGTCTGGAATGATGAGAGTGGCCATAGACAAGTTGAGGACCTTGGTTAAATAATCTACTCACGCAGAACCCAAATTTTTTAGCATTAGCATGCAAATTCCGTCGGGGCCCAATGGCTTTGGAGGCGTTCGCCTTCCCGATGGCTACGCCGCTGGTGAAAACAAGAGGCGTACTGGGTGTTAGCAGTTTGTGCAGCCTTCTAGTCACTCGATGCTTGGCTTTGTCCGGCGGAGGATGCAGGGTGAGCTATCGGTTTAAATAGGTCGTGCATGGCTCCGGATCCGACTAGGCGTGGTCGTCATGCTTTGTCGGATTGGACAGTCACCTCACGGCTGACCATAGTTTGCTCACACCAGGGGCGAAGTTACAGGTCTTCAGATGCTCTTCCTTCTTCTTTCGCTTATGTACGTTCACTAGTTGCAGAATCTCGGCGTTGAGATCCCTGATACGGGCATTCCCGGGATCAGCCTGATGAAGGTTGTCATGCTCATCGGCTAATTCAGAAATTTCATACTGGGGTCCTAAATGATTCCGGCTGGGATGAAGCGTGCTGCAGTAGCAGTGATAACCCTGCGGAATTTACGCTCACCTACGTGAAAGTCCGTTGGTGGGGATAGGGCATTGAAGGTGCTTTCAGTAACATCCGCAAAGTCGTTCCAATCAGCTTTAGAGAAGTTGACATAGGTTCGGTAATCCGCGGAAGCAAAGTCGGCATATTTTTCAATCGAGATGATTATGGGCGGATGGTCTGATGCCAAAGTCAGAAAGGTTACCACATTATGCTGTTTATCAGACCAGCGCTTACGATTGTTATGTCACGCGAGCTACTGCACCTCTTCAGGGTGATATCCCACCTATAGGGAGCACCTATTTCAGGTTGATATCCTACAGGGTAGCTGGTGAAGGGGGTATACATACGTTAAATATTTCGAGCTCGACATCGCCTGACCCGATAGCAATACCCTGCTATTCTAGGATGGTAATCCTGGAACGCTAGGCCACCACCAATATCTCGGTCGCGATCTCGGTGGTGCACGTTGAATCCGGCGCAATGGAACTGTGTTGAATTGCCATGCAACTTCGTATCTTGGACCGCAGCTATTAATATTCCATGCCGACCCATAAGGACTGTTATCTCCTCGATCTTGTTCAGTGGCCCGTTTCATTTGAATTGTAATATCTTCGTGTGCCTAGGGGGACTTATTGGAATGTGGGGTGGTTGTGAGGTGTGTTGCCTGCCCATAACTTGCTGTGTGTGCTGCTGTAAAAGCTGCTGCCCTGTGGTGGTGGTGGGCGGCGTCGCAGTTGGCACTTGCGACTGAGCAGCACAGCATTTGCCCTCATAGTCCTCGTCCAATCACACGTGGAGCGCAGTCCTGAGCATGCCCTAAAGTGACACCAGGCAAATGTTGAACTTGACACATGTCACGGTACGGAATATCCTGGTCTGACGCACCGAGCAGATTTTTGGCGGAACCAGGAGTTGTTGGCGTCGGTGGTATGGTTGTGTCTGTGGTGTTGTCTATTGTGCTGCGTTGTGGTGCGGTAGTGTTTGTGTTGAGTTGCTCAGGCTCTGGTGTGCTCGATATGAGTAGCGGGGGGCCTTGTATGAGGTGGTCAATTGCATGTGAGCCGTAAGGCCTGGGAAAACTCGGAGGTGACTCCACCCGTCAGTCGTCTTTGGCACACGCAGCAGGTGTAGGTTTCTGGCCCAGGGTTTGACCTGATGCCAGCCCTGAGCAGAAGTATGTGAAGCAGATATAGCCCTATGGACGTACAACTTTGAGGGATTTCGCCGACGTAAATGACGTTAAATAGTCGAAACGAGAGCCCTTGGTCGGATAAAACCGAGTCATTCCGGTACGTAGAACCGGCCGTCGTGGGAATGTGGGTTTTTTGTGCTCAAGAGAAAAGAGAAAAGAGTTGCTGTGCTGTTTAGTTTTAAACTTGTTATAATCTTAACACATTTATCTAATTAAGGCTAAGTTTCTTATTTAATTTTCCTGCAGTTTCAATAAACTATCTATTTAGGTGAAAATATGGCAGCACTAAAAGTGGCAAGAAATGCAGGGCTCGTATACAAGTAAACAGCGGAATTTTTCGCCGTGGAAAGCATAACGTCAAAATTATGTGTTTGATTAATATTTAATTCAACTATCACTGTGTGATGCTTATAAATTGATCAGCTGATTAAAGGTGTAACCTCTCTGAGTGTGGCTCTTCTGAAGCCACGTGAAGAACATGGGCCTGTTTCTCAAAGCTACAAGTCTTGTAATACAGGTAAATTACGTTGCCTTAATATAGAAAGGCCCTATCTAACATCGTCGCTGAAATGCACAAAGCCGTAACTAACTAAAATCTTTTATTGCATAAAATGATGTGAGGCCACATAATTCGATCAAATGCATCATAATCAATTAAAACGTAAATTTTCGATTTTTAGTTAGTTACGACTTTTTGTAAATCAGCGACGATGTCAGATAGGGCCTTTCTATATTAAGGCAACGATATCTTGTAATCATTAACGTTTCCACAAGTATATGTTTCTCAAAACTACACTTGTTAGGTACAAGCTGCAAGTATAACTTTTAAATTACAACTATTTTTAGTACTTGTACATAAAATTCTGTTTCTCAAGTTTTTCATATGACTATTGATACTTGAAGCAAGCGTCACAAATATTAAGAGTCTTTTGCCGCCCTTGAAAGAATTTTACAAGTAAGTACAAATACAAAATGATTTAAATATTTTAAGCTAGTTTAATACACAACTACTTTTTTAATTGAAGCGATCTTTAAAATGATATCTTCTAGCGACTCTAGTGACGAAATTGTTGTTAAAACGAAACTAAGATATTTAGACTGTTAATCGACTGTGACCATTTAAAAACATTGTACGATTTAAACGAAAGATAAAATGGAAAGCATTCTTAATTTTATAGGTAGCTGACTATCGTTTAAAACTAAAATGCTTGCAATAAATACTTACGCTTTTTATACCTCTGTCCTAGCCTTAAATATTTCGTTGGCTTAGTTCGCAAACGTGCTAAGTCCACTTTTTATGAAAAGTGAGATTTTGATGCAGTAAGATAGCATAACTCAAAATACATCATTACCAAAAAAGAAAGTTACCGTAATGTCGTTTTTACTTGTTGTTATGCATTGGTACGCAAATGTGCCAAGTCCAAAAAAATCCAGAAAAAATATAAACACGTCTGCCCGTGTACACGATAACTCGAGATATCTCAACGAAATTTGGTATGTAGGTTGCCCTTTATCCAAGGTAAGTTGGTATTAAAAATGGGCGAATCGGACTGTAACCACGCCCATTTCCGATTTAAAGGTATTTTGTAAAGATGCAAAAACTACGATATTTCAGTAAATATTGGATGCAAATTGTTCAAAATTAGTATGTGAAGTAGAATTTTT